AGCCATCATGGCTGGTAGCCATTGGCAGCCATTTATAGCCTTCTCTTTGCTGAATTTGTCTATAAGCCAAACTCCTCCCTTTCCACATGGAACACTGAATGGTGAGAACACACACACACACACACACACACACACACACACATCTCACTGGATCCGGCGAGCAGTTTCTTCAAATATTCCCGAAGGACTGTCTTGCAAAAGATGGAGTAGACTTGTTTTCTTTAAAAATAAAATAAAACCCAATTTTTCATTTTACAATGTTTCTACAACAAAAAATAAATCTAAACAAACATCATCATTTTCTTCGACTTCCCTCCCCTCTTCTCCATAGTTTTTTATTCTATGTCTCAATCTTACTGCATAACCAGTTCCAAAATCATATTTAAACATGTATTTCATCTCAGTGAACTCATTTCGGAATGTATTTTATCCTAAAATAGGTATTCTTCTATTTTATTTTTTAGCCAAGGACTGTATTTTAGAAAACAGAGGAGTGCAAAAAGTCGAAGGATGATTGCTTTCTGAACTATGTGTTAGTAGGGGAGGTTTATAATATGTTCACTTTATAATATGTGCCCAGTGAAAATCTCCATCCTGAAACTCTTCCATTTCTGACTTGCAGCCCAGTTCCGACAAATGAAGAGGGGTTCTCTGGGAGCTCTCACTATGAACCAGCTAATGAAGAGGCAGCTGGAACACCAGTCTAGTGCCCCTCATAATATCAGCACATGGGACACTGGTAAGTATTTCCACCCTGCATCCCTGTGTCCCTCTGTGCCTCTCTTTTCCCTTTCCTTTCTCTTCCATCGTTCTGGTCCCATAGGCTAATCAATGGCTGCGTCTGCTTGCTGTGTTGAATTGCTGGTGTTGTAGAATCTTCCACTGCATAGCTCAGTTGGCTAGAGCACGGTGCTGATAACAGCAAGGCTGCAGGTTCGATCTCCATATGGGACAGCTGAATATTCCTGCATTGCAGGGCATTGGACTAGGTGATCCTCTTGCAACTCTACAATTCTATGATTCTTTGGAAAGAAGCCTGGCTTAAAACCAAGTCAACGGAAAGACTACGATCTTGTTGATAGGGAAGCCACTGTTTTTCTTCTGTGAAATCTTCAAACACCACAGATCGAACACCAGTTTGATCTAAACTGAGGATGTGCATGGCTGGATCGATGGATACTGAAGAACCTGCTTTTGCTTTTATATATCTCTGCTTCTATATTAGGCAGGGGCAGCCCTACCATTAGGCAGAATGAGGCAACCACAGATACTGGGGCACAGCAGCTTGCAAGTCTTCCACCTCAACTTCCTAGCTATTCTTCTTTGTTTTCAAATGTCCTGTCCTTGGCTCCCTAACCTGGCCTGCTACTGCAGGTGTGGTCAAGAATGCTATCTTGACACCAGTGTTGAATTAAGATTAATCTGACAGTTCAGTCAGTTTCTATACGTGGAGTGGGGAGGAGATGTGATCCTATTCTTTAAACCACTCTTGGGCTTGCCGATCAGAAGGTTGGCAGTTTGAATCCATAAGACGATGTGAGCTATGATTGCTCTGTCCCAGCTCCTGCCAACCTAGCAGTTCGAAAGCACACCAGTACAAGTAGATAAATAGGTACCGTTGCAGCGGGAAGGTAAGCAGCATTTCCGTGCACTCTGGTTTCTGTCACGGTGTTCTGTTGCGCCAGAAGCGGTTTAGTCATGCTGGCCACATGACCTGGAAACCTGTCTGTGGACAAACGCCAGCTCCTTCAGCCTGAAGCTGAGATGAGCACCACACCCCATAGTCACCTTTGACTGGACTTAACCATCCAGGGGTCCTTTACCTTACCTACTTCCAACAGCGAAATTCCTTGGACCAGTCCTCATTTCAGACCTCTCTCTTGATGACCACTGGTGCAACTAGGCATGGTGTATGAGATCCTACTACAGTGGTGCCCCGCAAGACGAATGCCTCGCAAGACGGAAAAACCGCTAGACGAAAGGGTTTTCCGTTTTTGAAGTTGCTTCGCAGGACGAATTCCCCTATGGGCTTGCTTCGCAAGACGAAAATACCTTGCGAGTCTTGAGATTTTTTTTTCGCTTTCCCCCCCCTTTATCTAATCTGCTAAGCCTTTAATAGCCTTTAATAGCCTTTTAGCATCTAATCCCCTAAGCCTTTAAGCCTTTAATAGCCGCTAAACCGCTAATAGCGCTATTAGCGCTAATCCGTCAATGGGCTTGCTTCGCAAGACGAAAAAACCGCTAGACGAAGACTCTCGCGGAACGGATTAATTTCGTCTTGCGAGGCACCACTGTAATTAGAACAAATAGGACCATGTGTGTGTGTGTGTGGTCACTCTTATACCACTTTAACACTTGCGGAGAATCCTGGGAACCGTTGTTTGTTAAGAATGCTGATGTTAAAGACCTAAAATTCCCGGCATCCTTAAGAAGCTGCAGTTCTCAGGATTCTCTGCGACTGTTAAAGCAGGATAAGTGTGTGCTAAGTATATGGTGTGGGTGTGTTTTCTGTGTGGATGTGAAAGACACAGAGATTTGGATCAGCCCACAATGCTTGGGGTGGCGAGTTAACCCTTTCCCCGCTGCATAACTTTCCTGATAAAAATCATCCCCCAAAGCTACTATTTCCTTGACCAGGAAAACAACACCACTTTGTCCCTCTCCCATTTTGTTGGGTTGGTAGTTTGCCTTTAGAAGTGTGTGAGTCGTTTTCATGCAGCTCTCCCCCCCATGTCTAGTTTGGTCCTTGGAAACGAAAAGGCAAGGACTCAGAGAAGTATTCCTCAAGGATTTTACTTGTGTGCACTAGCAAAAGTTATTTCCTTGGGGAAAGAAACACTCGCCTCTTCTTCCCCTGGTTGAGCTTCATCATTGGTTTCATAGTAGCCCAGTTTATTCCCACACAGGAGGCAGCTATGCCACTTACAACCAGCGGGTGGTCAAAGTAGAACATGATACCCTGAAGGAGGGATGGTGGAACCTGTGGCCCTCCAGCCATTGCTGGACTACAACTCCCATCATCCTCAGCCACTGACCATGCTAGCTGGGGCTGATGGGAGTTGGAGTCCAACAGCATCTGAAGAGCAGGAAGTTCCTCACCCTGAATCGGGTCAGGCTGGACCGCTAGTTCATACAAATTGTGGTCGTTTTTATAATCAAGACTTCTGTCCTACTTCCCTTATCGTTGTTGAAAAACAAAATGAAGACATTCGGTTTTCAGTGTGTGTGTGTCTATTAACATATCTTTGCTAACCACACTAAATATTTATTAAGCCCTTGGCTCTCTTTCCCACCCCTACATAATTCTGTAGAATCCTCCAGGATGTCCCACTCGGCTGATGATTTTACAGAATGATAGATCCTGGCAAATTACAGGGACCAGATGCTTCACTGCAGTTATCTTCCAAAATTATGCATTTGGGGAACTTCTGCAATGAAGCGGGAAATGCCAGGAGAATTCCCAAGATGGAAAGCAGGGGAAATGTTTCTGTCACAAGATTAGTTGATGCACATGGATCAGAAACGGCCGTTTCATTCAGAATCGGTTTAGTGTTCTGTTCCTTCTTGGACACCTGTAGTTCTGAGATCAGCATTGTTTTGGATAACTCACCCTGGGATTGGACTAAAGATCCCTGTTCATGAACAGTCCCAGATTTACCAGATTAATTTTTCTGCTGTCTTGTTTGCTATATTATACAGTCCCATTTCTGCTGTTAGGCCCCGTAGTTTGCCAATGATGTCACTGAACCTTCACTGCACTGTCCATCCTTCCCCCATCCTTCCTGCCATCCCTGAAGAGTTAGCATTTCTTGCAATATGGGAGCTGTACTTGAGGAGTGCATGGGGACAGTGGCATGGGCCAAGCTGAGCCTTACAGGCTTCAGGAGCCCTAACACAGCCTCACAAGACTGGCAGTGGTGAGAGTGCAGTATTCCAAACCCAGATGAACCTTCTGGAAAATGTGGGAAATCCCCTCCCCCCAATTCTGCGGTGGGCTTGATCCTGCCAGACTCCCAAATCTGCTAGTGACAACTCTGCTCATTTCACCTAGAAAAGAAGAACGCTGGTTTTCTTTACTTCTTGGCTACCACATGTCTTCTGCTCTGCTTTACCTCTGATTTTAACACAGATAATTTCTAAACTTGTTTCAGAATTGGTGCAGTTGGCCACAGTTTGCCATTCTTTTCCATTTTCTTTCCGCCCCTCAAATGTCTTTAGTTAGGGGGGAAAGCTTCCATTTTGTGGAGGTGACTTTTGGGTTCGCCTTTCTCACACTTCATTTCGAACTGTCCATCCTCGGATTCTTTTTCTGCAATGCAAATTCGCCATGTAAACCTAAAGCATCCTGTGCCATTGTGGTGAGCATCTTTGATCTTGTTTTGCTGTGGGCTTGACATTGCCTTCTACTACAGCTCTTAAATCATTCCATTTCTTTCTGTATATAGTTCCCAATTTCATATATAATCTAAATCCTCTGACCACTTCAGCTCTTCTAGAGTTTGGTAGGAATGACGTGGTGCCCAAATCTAAAGATCTGAGGAACGTTAGACCCTCCCCCCCCCAAAAAAAAACCAGTAGGTCTTTGTGCTTGACTCCAACTGTTGCTATTTCAGCACATTCTCTGACTTCTTTAAAATATATATTTAAGTTAGGAAGTGGGCTCAGCATCTAGGGAGGGGATACCGCTCAGTGGGGTAGACATACTTCACATGCAGAAGGTTCCAGACTCAATTCCTGGTACCTCCACTTAAAAGATGTGAAAGACTTCTGTCTGAGATACAGCGAATGCAATCTCAGGTTCAGTCTCAAGGCAGGGCTGGGGAAGGCTGCCAGTTCACAACACTGAGCTAAATGGACAAATGGTCTGACCTGGTCTGCCTTCTTCTCTTTCCAATAGGAGTTGTCTTTTTTCTAGTTGCCTTGCATTAGCTGTTTGTCGCTAGCTGTTGTGCTCGTGTGTCGTGTCTTTGTGGTGCTGGTGGCAGACTCTCAACGGAGACTAGAGGGGACTGAAGTTCTCTGTTTATCCACAGAACAGATACAGCATGGGAAGAGGCCGTGCAATGTCTCAGTTTGCCTAAACCCTGACCTGGAGGGACCACCACTAAGAATAAGAGGTTAGTTCAGTGTCCATTCAGCCTTGGTTTCACCTCCGCAGCTTCACAACCAAGGTGCTTAGTTAGAGCTGAATGTGATGGTGGTTCTGGCAGTCTCTGAGCTGACCTCATCGACCATTTTGCACAGAGCCTTGCATTACAAGACTAGATATCTCCCCAGCCCAGGTTTGAAGCGGGCAACTTGGAGCTCTCACAATGTTCTTCTTTCAGCGCAATCGGTTTTTTCTTGTTTATGATCGCTAGCAAAGTTTGGCAACTGTTTCTTTGCAAAAGAGCAGCAAGCTGACTCTGAAATTGCTTTGTCTCTCAGGCGTCTCGCTAATCTAACCCCTGTAATGAATTCTGAGCTATCCTTATTTCATGTTATAGCACAATACGATAGGGGATAGGGAAATTGTGCGTTCTTATTAAGATGTTCTGGTTAAAGTAGGTGACCTCCCCTCGCCCCCTGCTGATATGCAGACCTGCAGCTTCATGTTATCTGCTGGCTTCTAACTGCACACACCAGCCTCCAGCTGCCTCATAATTTTGTTCTAGGGAAGCCATTCAATCCCTTAAGTCACAAAGAAAGAGTTAGGCCAGGCACATGTAATCAGTACAGCTTTCATTCTGTGTTATCATTGTTGAAGAGTTCTGAAGACCAAGAGTCCATCAAGTTTAGCTCAAAAGGACCATTGAAGATATCCATTCTTGGACTTGATGGAGGAAGTCTTTTCAGAGAAGAAATATTTGTACCAAGCTTAACACAATGACTGTTTGAGGTTGGCTTCCTAGTCCATTTTAGCACGGCAGGCTCTAACTCTGATTCCAAATGATGTTGCAGTAACTTATGTACCATAGGAAAGAGTTTATGTAATGGCGGCTGCAGAAATCACATCTGTATAACTACCATGGATTGCCAGGCTTCTTTGGACATGTTAACCCCCCCACAAAAAAAATCATTAATTGCCCAGTAGTTCATTACCTGTCTGTGCTTTCCTGATAGTCTTAGCTCTGTGACCCACTCTCCTTAACCTCTGACTCCGCCCCCCCAGGTTTACACGGCTTCCCCATGTTTCTATGTGAAAAAGGCACTGTAGTGACCCTCTTTCAATTGTACTCTTTCTAAGTCCCAAATCACCCAGCATATATAGATGATGAGTTTACTCTCATATCAGCCTGTTTTGCCTCTGACAGATGCTAGCCATGCAATGCTAAGATTCCATTTCGCCTCCACTGTCTAAGTGAAACTGTTTGCCAGGTCTTGATGAATGGACACTTTCAGTCCCCAACCTTCCTTAAAGGTGAGAAGTATTTCATCTAACATCACATAAAGAACCAACCGATTGAAAGAATCTCTGGCTGGCCAGCTCTGTTCTGCAGTGCGCCTCTTTCCTCTAAAGAAGGGACCGGAACAGGATTGTGAATGCAAAACTGGGACATCCTCTTGGTTTCTTCTTTTGGTGTCTTTGACTTTGATAGAGAATATCATAGAAGAACAAGAGACCAAGTATGATTGAAGGGGTTCTCCAAACACACTGCTATCTGTGATTCTAGCGCGGCTCTTCACTGGGGACAATCCTTCAGATTTCTCTGGAGAAATATCCTCTAGCAGATCTTTGATTACTTTAGAAACATCTCATCACTTTTGATAAAATTTACACCAGCAGAAGGTATTGTCAATAAGATCCATTGGTCAAAAGGGAAATCTACTTTCACGTACAAAACAGTTACTTTTGTTTTTTAATCCCATTAATATTCAAGGATCCTTCCTTCCTTCCTTCCTTCCTTCCTTCCTTCCTTCCTTCCTTCCTTCCTTCCTCTTTCTTTCTTTCTCTCTTTCTCTCCCCCTTCTCTCTCTAGGTGCCACAAAATCTAGCTTGCTGTCAGCACCCAGTATAGTCAGTATGTTTGTACCAGCACCCGAAGATTTTATTGATGACCAACCGACCATGATGACTGACAAGTAAGCATCTTCATTTTTTCATTCTAATTGCACACACAAATGATGACAAACACACAAATGATGAAACAGTCAAAACATCTACAAAGCTATTCCAGTGCAGGTTCAGACTGGGAAAGGTCTCTTTTAAAAAGGCTTGTTAAAAGAAGAAAGTCTTCAGTAAGCGCTGAAGAGGTAACAGAGATGACGCCCATCTAATACTCAAGGGGAGGAAATTCCTTAGAGTAGTTTTGTGACACTAAGGGCCTGATTCCTACATTGGGTGAAATGGACCTCCTGATATCCTCATAAGACCTTCAGCTGCAGAGTGCAGTGGTCTGACTGGTTATGTAAGGGGAGAGATGATCTTTCAGGTATGCTGGTCCCATCCTGTATCGGGCTTTATACACTGAAAGCAGCTTTGGACTTAGCCCAGAGGTTAACAGGTAGCCACTTATGTATTTAGTGGTTTGTCATTTAAGACCAACAGTAGACATAGAGCTGATTTATAAACAGCAGCAGCAGCAGCAGCACTAGCAGCAGCAGAGCACTTTGTAACCCAAGCAAAACTGGAAGTATCTTTAGAAGACTTTCTTAAACTTTTCAAGTAAAGAAAGTTGGAAGGCCAAAACAGAAGACACTTGTAACAAGTGTTAGACTAGATGAGAACTGGGGATTTTTATTTTTATTTTTACAAAAAATCTCCCTCAAGGCAAGAAAAACCTCCCTTTCCCCCCGATAGGAGTATGATGTTTCTCATTTCTATGATTTGGGGGGGCGGGTGATGGGGCAAAGGGAGGGGAAAATAACAAGGAAAAACTGCGATGCAATTTTCAACAGGAGTCCCATTTTTAAAGGGACATTATGGGGAAATAACAGGTTTATTTATTGAGTTCTTTGGATATTTATTCAATGTATATCTTTCCTCCCCTCCCCCCCAAAAAGGAGCCCTGGGTGCCAAACACATCAATCAAAATCACAATTAAATTAAGTTAAAAATATTCTAAAAACCATGAAAAACATTGTTTCAGCCAGAGATCTCAGAGTTGCCAGGAACAGTGCCTTTCAGCCATATTATTATTATTATTATTATTATTATTATTATTATTATTCCATTCCACCCTTCATCTGAGGATCACAGGGTAGTTGACAATATAAAATGCCTGGGTAAACAGGAATGTTTTGAAATTCATACTGTAAGTATGCTTTTATGTTTTTTTTTATGCTGTATTTGTTATGTTGTGAACCCCCCTGAGCTCTACAGATGAAGAGCAGCATACAGATTTATATAATAATAATAATAATAATAATAATAATAATAATAAGAAGTCAATAATGAGGGGGACAGATGCACCTGGCCAGGGAAAGCATTCTACAATGGGGAGCTGCCACTGAAAAGGCCCTGTCATGGAAGCAGTGGCAACTGGGCAGGTGCTAGGATGATGAATTGCACACGGCCAAAAAAGAGGACTGGGGAACAGGTTGGCATAAAATTCACAATGCTTAAATGCATGCACATTTAGACATAATTACTGTAGTGTAAATAGAATTGTAGTACATCTCGCAATAGTGAAAAAGACGGACCTGTTCAGTGTGCTAACCCAGCGCTAAGCCTTGATGGGCATCTTCAATACAGCTGTTCTTCCTCCTTCTTTATCTTTAAACTGGGCTGGGATTGAAGAACCCTCAAAACAAAGTACGCCTTCAAATAGAGGACTGTCATGTGTAAAATAGGACATGTGGCTACCTTCAGGTGCCCAGAGGCAAAGTACTCAGACAAAAATGTGTTGGGAATGGTATCTCACCTTGTGCTCTGACCATTCTGCATTACTCCTCTGAATGCATTAATCAAGTATCAGTGGCTGGAAAAACCCTGACTGTAGCATTACAATGGGAATAAAAGGAAGTAGAATTAAGATTTTCATTTTATTTTTGCAAATGACCAAATCTCTCGCGAGGTTAATTTTGTATCAGCCGGTCGGTCTGGCTGCTTTCAGAAAGCTTTGGCAGCAGGTAGTAAACTGGGCTAAATGAGATTGACTTTCATGACCTTGCTGGCATTTTCTCCTGCTGCCGCTGAGAGGGAAGAGGAAAATTGCCTGTACAATCCCATTAAGTTCAAATATCACAATCTGTTGGAGACATTAGTGAGTGGTTGATCAAATTACCCAAGCATGCCCATTGGGCCGAGATGTACTGGTTTCCCAATGTTGTTTGTCTCTTTCTGTGCCCTGCAATATTCTGCCTCATCTCTCCTGCATCTGACATGTCCCTTAAGATCACACATTACACACACACACACACACACACACACACACACAGCCTTGGCAAAGTTTTCAAAGATGTCTCTTGGCATTGCAGGATCAGCCTGCCAGTCAGTGCCCAAAGCAGCTAATGCGGAATAAATGTCTTCCTTCCTTTCCTGCAAGCCAACCCACAGATCCATCAGTCATGGTTTTAATCACTGTAGGAATGTAATGTCCTCTTTTAATGCCCAGACTTCTTCTTCATAATTTTCTTACAGGTGCCATGATTGTGGAGCCATCTTGGAAGAGTATGATGAAGAAACATTAGGTCTGGCCATTGTGGTTCTTTCCACGTTTATTCACCTCAGCCCAGATCTGGCTGCTCCTTTGTTGCTGGATATCATGCAGTCTGTAGGAAGGTAAGAGACTTGCCTTGCCTTGCCTTGCCTTGCTGCTTTATACTGACTCAGACTAATGGTCCACCTTGCTTAGTATCACCTTCATTGACATAGAATCATAGAAAGGTAGAGATGGAAGGGATCCCAAGGGTCATCTAGTCCAATCCCCTGCAATGTAGGAATCTCAGCTAAAGAAATCCATGACAGATGGCCATCCAGCCTCTGCTTAAGAACCTCCAAGGAAGCAGAGTCCACAACCTCCCGAGGGAGACCATTCCACTGTCCAGCAGCTCTTAGAAAGTTCTTCCTAATGTTTAGTCGGAATCTTCTTTCTTGTAACTTGAAGCCATTGGTTTGGAGTCCTACGCTCCAGAGCAGGAGAAAACAAGCTTGCTCCATCTTCCGTGTGACAGCCCTTGAGATGTTTAAAGGTGGCTACTTTCTTGGGCTCCATGATCACTGCAGATGGTGACAGCAGCCACGAAATTAAAAGATGCCTGCTTCTTGGGAGAAAAGCAATGACAAACCTAGACAGCATCTTAAAAAGCAGAGACATCACCTTGCTGACAAAGGTCCATATAGTTAAAGCTATGGTTTCCCCAGTAGTGATGTATGGAACTGAGAGCTGAACCATAAAGAAGGCTGATCGCCGAAGAACTGATGCTTTTGAATTATGGTGCTGGAGGAGACTCTTGAGAGTTCCATGGACTGCAAGAAGATAAACCTCTCCATTCTTAAGGAAATCAGCCCTGAGTGCTCACTGGAAGGACATATCCTGAAGCTGAGGCTCCAATACTTCAGCCACCTCATGAGAAGAGAAGACTCCCTGGAAAACAGCCTGATGTTGGGAAAGATGGAGGACACAATGAGAAGGGGACGACAGAGGACGAGATGGTTGGACAATGTTCTCGAAGCTACGAACATGAGTTTGACCAAACTGCGGGAAGCAGTGGAAGACAGGAGTGCCTGGCGTGCTCTGGTCCATGGGCTCATGAAGAGTCGGACACGACTAAACAACAACAACAACAACAACAACAACAATCATCTCTCCTCTCCATTTCCTCTTCTCCCGGCTAAACATACCCAGCTCCTTCAACCATTCCTCATAAGGCTTGGTTCCCAGATCCTTGATCATCTTGGTCACCCTCCTCTGCACACTTTCCAGCTTGTCAACATCCTTCTTAAACTGTGGTGCCCAGAATTAGACACAGTATTCTGGTCTGACCAAGGCAGAATAGAGCAGTGCTATTTTACTGCTCTATTTTACTATTTTACTTCCCTTGATCTAGACGCTATACATCTGTTGATGCAGCCTAGAATAGCATTATCTTTTTAAATAGAAGCTCTCCAGGGTTTCAGGCAGAACTCTCCCCCAGCCCTATCTAGAAATGTCAGGGATTGAATCTGGGAACTTCTGCATGCAAAGCAGATGCTCTGTCACTGAGCTATGCCTCTTGCTTCCCTCCCTTCTGTGCAGAAATGGTTTGCAACCATGAGGGAGCTGACTATCGTCGCCGTCACTTGGTAATCCTGAATGTATGGGAACGCTTATATTAGGGATGGGGAACTCAAGTGTTGTTGGACTACAACTCCCATAACCCCTGACTGTCATCCACACCGACTGGGGCTGGTGGGAGATGGAGTCCAACAACATCTGGACACCGTGCATGATAAGAAGTGGCATGGAGGAATTTGAAAGGTAGTTAAAGATTGTTGCTAATATCCAGGATGGAGAGGTTCATGCCCTCTAGATGTTGGACTCCAAAATCCCCAGGCAGCATGGCCAATAGTTCCCTGTCCCTGGGGGGCCACACTTCTGACCTTCATGATAAGTGGCATGGAGGAACCTGAAAATTGGTTAGAGATTGCTGCTGAGGGATTCTGCCCGGGAACTGCTGTAAACATCAGAAAACTGATGAAGTTTTGATGCTCAGCCTCACAGTGAGAGCTATCTGGGGAAAACTACTTCTTGCAGAGGACAGTGGGCTCCCAGCTGAAAATGTCCTGCCCCCATGTCATATCCTCACCTTTTGCTATCTCCATAATTTATACTTTCACTTGCCTGTGAAGTTGGAAGGGATTGGACCTGAGCCCATTTATATGCTAAGTTCACATGCTTTCATCACTTCCTCTTTGTCACAAGAAGGGAAAGTGAATAGAAGTTCCGACAGTTTTGCAACAGTGGCCAAGCTGTTCTGCATAGCTCAGTTGGGAGAGCAGGAGACTCTTAATCTCAGGGTCATGGGTTTGAGCCCCACATAGAGTGGAAGATTCCTGCATTGCAGGGGGTTGGACTAGATGATCCTTGTGGTCCCTTCCAACTCTACGATTCTATGATAATGGTTTAGCAAAAGTATGTCAGATTTTGCCAGCCAGATATTGACCAAAGATAGTCTTCATGATTGTGAAGTCATTTTATCTGGGATTTGATTTGATTGCACCAGTCATTTCGACTATTTTACTTTAATAAAAATAAATTGTTTTTGTTTGCCTCCTTCTCCGCCAGGTTGGCTTCAAGCACCAATTTTTCTAATCAAGCAGAAAGGTACAGTACAATCAAAACAAGTTTTTCCCCTCTATACAGACCACAAACAAGTGTATAAATATCCCCTGTTTGGTGGAGGTAATTTTGAATTAAGGAAGGAAAAAAACAGAACAAAAAAACCACAGCAAACATATTTGGTTTCCTCTCCCTTGCTTGTCATCATGCTGTAGTTTGCAGCACCATCCGTTGGCAGCCGCATGAACTGCTGTGTGATGACAGCATTACATTTTTATGTAACAGGAAGATATGCAAGCTGGGGGGAAAGCGCTAATTTGAGCGAAGACATTCGAATCACATGCAGCGTATGAGTCTTCATTCAGCCCCCCCCCCAGTTAACTCTTACTCTTTTCTCGCCACAATGTATTTGAAATGAAATTCCTACTGAACATATCAAAGTGGATGATGTTTGGTTTTTCCATGGTGAGATATGCTTGAAGAATCATGGCATCTCCCTCCCTCTTTATTCCTTCATTTTGTTCCTCAGCATGATGATCCCAGGGAATGCTGCAGGCGTGGCCAAGCAATTTCTCCGCTGTATTTTCCATCAACTGGCTCCCAATGGCATACTTCCCCAGCTGTTCCAGAGCAACATCAAAGGTAATGTGCAAATGTCTGAGATTTGTTTCCCTTCCTCTCCACAACCTCCATGCTGAAACTTCTTTGGAAAACAACAACAACCCCAAACATTGTCATTTGCAGATGGAAGTTTTCTACGGACCTTGGCTACATCTCTCATGGATTTCAGTGAACTGAGTTCCATAGCTGCTTTGAGCCAGCTCCTGGAGGTTAGTCTACCATCTGTGTATCTTTCACAATCACTGTTTTCTTTCCACTGGATGTATTTTACGTCTCATCTCACACCCTAAACTTTTCTACTCTCGAGTTTTGCTTTTACTGGGGCAGAGCTGAAACTGCTCAGACAGTTCCATTTTGTGTAGGGCAAACACAAAATGTGTGTCTTCTCTCACAGCATTGAGAACTAAAGAAGAGTCCTGCTGGATCAGGCCAATGGCCCATCTAGTCCAGCATCCTATTCTCACAGTGGCTGATCAGATACCTGTGGGATTCCTTTTTTTTTTTAAATGATATTTATTGAAAATTTTAAAATTATAAAAGAGAACAAAAAAGGAAAAAGAAAGAAAAAACGAAGAAAAGACAAACCACAGTCAAACAATACAGATTAATAAAAATCAAAATCAAAAAATAACACGACACAATTAAAAGACAAAAATATTTAAAAACAAATCCAATATTCTCATATCTTTAACTGTCATTACCTTCTTTCTTTGACCTCCTCCTCCTCCCTTTTTTTGTATCCTGATTATTAATTGTCACAGCAAACCCTTTCCATATTTCATAATATTCTGTCATTACTTTACCTTAATCTATTTTAATCTTATCTTACTATGAAAACCTTAAAACTTAAAACTTAAATCTTATTTTTACCAATTTCTCATAACCATAATATTCTTACATAATTCTTTAAACATTTTTACTAAAGCCAAATAATTTCATTCCAACATTTTTTTAACATTCATCAATTTTGTAAAACAATCATAATAAAAGAAATAACAATCCAATCTTCATCCAGCGTCTCTTCTTCCTGTACCCGGGTTTTGTCAGTCCTTTCTATCCCATCAATCTAGCGCATTAACCTGGTAACCTTATGTCCGAGGCCCTTAAGTCTCTTCCATGTCCCTTCCGCAGCTCTTCTTCATATTTATAGCTATATTTTCCTTTATCTCCTACTTCTTTCACTCTTGGGAACTCCAGCTTGACAGTGCTTTTGACCCTTCTCGACAAATCAGCCCCTTTTCCATAGTCCCCACTAAGCTCCATGTGGTATTTAAGAACATGTTTCAGAGTCCCTCCAAAGTTGAGAGCCCTCACAACCCCAAACACCTCACGGCCCATTGCCAGACTCAAAAAGTCCAAACCTCCCTGCATAGGGGGGGTCTATCCAACCCATTTCCAAACCAAACCAAACTTTATCTTTCCAAATCTGGCTTTTTCCAAGTTCCTTTGTCAAATCCAAGAATTCATGTTCCTGCTGGGCCGCAACTCCCTCCATCTCTGGCGCCCAAGATTCCGCAACATCCTCTTCCCTCATCTGATCTGTCAGGGCGCACTCCTGATCTAATTCCTGGGTGGGCTCTATATAATATCCCACTGCCTGTCCAAAATTTCTAATCGCATCAGTCATAAAATCCGTCTTCTCATGTAGCTGTTCCAGTAGGGCACTTGTTTTACAGAAAGCACTCAACAGAGCTTCTGAATACATTGTCCTGCAAGGTCAGAAGTCTATTCCCACGATCATAATCTGTAACAGCTGCGAGCTTCCCGATTCAAAATTGGTTACAGTTTCACAGGCTCCCTCTAGGGGAAAAACTTCTGCTTGTTCTTTTCTTTTAGAAACAAATCTACAACAAAGTTTCCTTTTTCAGATATTTTGTCAATATTTGTTCCTTTAAAATGCGAAGGGGAACAATGGAATCACTATGTATCTCTTCCTTTAGCTATCTGTCAGAAACGTTTGTCTCTGGTCAATGAGCTTCAAAGAACGTCAGTCCTGACACCCTGCTCCAGGATCAAGACGGTGGAAAGTTACTTTACTTTACTCTCACTTCTGCAGGTTTAAACAGTCCAGAAAGAATCCCCCCTCTTCTCCTGCTTCCAAAGGGGGTTCCACAATTTGAAATGATGAAAGTTAATCCTTTAAAAGCGATTTTCAGAACTCTAGTTTGCCGTGTCTTTGCTTTAATCTATCTACAAAGAAACGGAAGGCTGACTTCCTGTTTAGACCTTCCCGTTTCAGTGCCAAATTAAATTAAACCTTTAAGTCCAGTTTTCCTTTCTGCTCGCAAATCCTTATTTAGAGTCCAATTGTCCGAAACTTAAGTACTCATGGGTGGTTGTTTTAAAAGCCAAATTGTCCCAGGAAAAAGGCAGTGCTCTCCGGCAACGGCTGTGCGGCTTCGCTCCACGGTAGAAGCAGTTGACTCTCAGCACCGCGCCACTTCCCCCTCTTCGCTTCGGAGCCCGTTAGTTTGCGGGTTGGGGGGGCGCTAAAGGTGCCTGCCGAGTCCCATGGTCACAGGCTTCATCCGCCTGTGATTTTTGAATGGGTCCCCGCTTCGCCATAGCGGAAAAGACCCGATTCCCGTGGAGCTGGTCCCTCCAGTTCAGAGGGAATCCGCCATTGCCGATGGCGCCACCCCGGAAGTCAGATACCTGTGGGATTCCAGAAAGATAGACATGAGTGCAACAGCTCTCTGCCTACCTGTGATTGCCAGTAACTAGTGTTCAGAGACATGATGCTTCCGACAGTTCAAGCAGAACATAGCCATCAAGACTAATAGCCTTTGGCTACTAGCTGGCCTTAGACACTTGAGGTGTATTTTTTTTGTTTTGTTCTCACCCTATTCTTGTGATTGTAATTTGTTTTAAACTGTTTTAAAGTTGTGTTTTAAGTTGTTGCAACCCACCCTGGGGCCTTAGGGTGAAGAACAGGTAATAAATAAAATAATTCATTTACACAACGGGGCTTTTCATAGAATCAGAGAATTGTAGAGTTGGAAGGGACCCCAAGAGGCATCTAGTCCACTCTCCTACAGTGCAGGAATCTCAACTAAAGCATCCATGACAGATGGCCATCCAATCTCTGCTTAAAAACCCCCACAGAAGGAGAGTCCACAACCTCCTGAGGGACACCGTTCCTCTGCCCAACAGCTTCCTTTCCTCTCCACTGCATCCCCAACACTTTGCTTGGGGACCCTCAGCAGCAGATTTGTGGGACGGGGGTACACAGAGGCTGGAAATGGGAGGAGAGAAACCCAGAGTCTCCTTGCACAAATGGATTTCCCTTGATCAAACAGGCAGACATGATTACGTGTTGTCCCATTGCTACTATAGGTAAAAAATAATATCTGTGTCCAAATGCAACGTGGCACTGAATACCTGTCGCTGGGGGTCAAAAATCAGGGGAGGGATGTCTTTATTCCTTGGTTGTGGCATTTCCAGAGGGATGTTCCTGGTTGCTGTTGAAACTACGATGCTGGATTAGAAAGACCTTTCATTATAGCTGTTCTTCTAACTCACTAACTCCTTTCATTATAGCTGTTCTTCTAACTTACTACACACACACACACACACACACACACACGTGTATCTCCAGATCAATTTCATTTCTTATCATTACATTTATACCCCACCTTTCCCTCCAAGGAGCTCAAGGTGGTGTATGTAGTTCACTCTTTCACCTTTACAACAACCCTGTGAGGTAGGTTAGGCACCACCTACATATTTGCTGCTTCTCATTCCTGTGATGTATAACATACACCAGCCTTTCTCAACCCGATGCCCTCCAGATGTTTTGAACACCAACTCTCACCAGCTATAGCTGGCACAGGTGTACTGGTTGGAATGGATGCAAGTTGAAGTGCTGTAGGTTAGGAAAGGTTGAGATACAAGGTAGTTTGTAATTTATTTGTTGGAGGGAATAGGAAATCAGTCCCTATTGTCTGCACTTTTCAAAAATGCTCCTCACCGTCTTAGTTTTTTTGCGAGCAGGGTTTGAATTGTCCATGTACTTATTTTCTTAGGGCCTAAACACCAAGAAGAATTTACCAGCAGGGGGCGGGATGCTACGCTGCTTGGAGAACATTGCTACGTTCATGGAAGCTTTGCCGATGGATTCCCCCAGCAACCTCTGGACCACGATCAGCA